TGGATGGCTTTCCTCGTGGGGCGGTGAAGAAGAGAAAAAGAATTGCTGTGAATGGGAAGGAGTTCAATGTAGCAACACAACTGGGCACATCACTATGCTTAATCTAACGACATATGTGTATGGTCATGATTTTATCTTAAGAGGTAAACTTAGTCCTTCTCTATTTGAGTTACAGCGTTTAATTTATTTAGACCTCAGTGGAAATAATTTCAACTTAAGCCAAATTCCAGAGTCTATCAGTTCACTCAACAAAATACAACATCTTGATCTCTTTAATTGTAATTTAAGTGGATCTCTTCCTAGTCAGCTTGCAAACCTCATAAGTCTGCAATATCTTGATCTTGGCTATAACAACTTCAACAGTGTCAAAAATCTTGAGTGGCTCTCTCGTCTTTCTTACTTGCAATACCTTTATCTGAGTGAAATCGACCTTAGTAAGGTCAACAATGACTGGCTGCAAGTAATTAATAAGCTCCCTCATCTAACTAACTTGTCTCTATATAGATGTAATCTTCGAGATGTCATTCCCCAGTATGTCCCCATAATTAACACTTCTAGTACTTCTCTCGTCCACCTTGATCTAGGAAGCAACAATTTGACTGCTTCCACATTCCAATGGTTGTTCAACTTTAGCAACAGCCTTGTTAGTCTCCGCTTGCGTTTTAATCAATTTCGAGGTCCAATTCCAGAAACTTTTAGTCACATGACTCTCCTAGAAAGGCTAAGTCTCTCATATAATCAGTTTGAAGGAGAGATTCCAAAATCCTTTTGGAGCGGTAACTTGTCATCATTGCGATACTTGTATCTTTCAAGCAATAAACTGAGTGGTGATATACCCAAAAGCATCGGATTGCTGTCAAAGCTTGAGGTCTTGGATATTTCTTTCAATTCTTTCAATGGGGTGATCACTGAGGAACACTTCTCAACGCTATCTAATTTATGGTCCTTGGGCATGTCTTCTAATAATCTGAGCATCAACTTCAGCCGTGACTGGATTCCTCCATTCCAGTTGAAACATATTCGTCTAGGATCTTGCAAGTTGGGACCTGATTTTCCAAGCTGGTTAAAGACCCAAAGGAACTTTATATTTCTTAATATTTCTGCAAACAGAATTTCAAATGGCATCCCCATCTGGTTCAGTACCTTGCCTTCTACAGCACTAGGTATAGATCTTTCTTCCAACCAAATTAGTGGTATTCTTCCAGATTTATCAAGGAATTTTTCATCTGATTCTTATGGCCTTGGGATAAATTTAAGTGGAAATCGTTTGGAGGGTCAATTACCGTCATTTCCCGCTAATACCACACACATAAACCTCTCAAAAAATGGGTTTAATGGGTCAATTTCTTCTCTCTGTGCTATGACTGGTATGTCTCGAGTTCCTCGATCTTTCAAGCAATCAACTATCTGGAAAGCTTCCCAATTGTACGATGCATTGGTCAAGTCTGCAAATTTTGAATTTGGCTAACAATCGTTTCTTTGGAAAAATTCCGAGCTTTGTGGGATCTCTCTCTTTGATTGAAACGTTTGATTTGCAAAACAACAACCTCTCTGGGAAAATTCCTAGGTCTTTAAGGGACTGCAGTAAATTGCAATTTTTGGGTTTGAGTAATAATAGATTGTCTGGAATAATACCAAGTTGGATTGGAGAAAGGTCAAATTCACTAAATTTCCTCCTCCTAAAATCTAATCATTTTGGTGGAGAAATCCCATTGGAGATATGCTGGTTGACAAATATTTTGCTGTTGGACCTCTCTTGCAACAATCTGTCTGGACACATACCACGATGCATTGGTAATTTGACTGCCTTGGCCAGAAAAGACATTGCAGCCCGAGGTCATTTCTTTAACTTTTCAATGTATCGTGTGTACTTTGGGGGGTATGCTGACAAAGCGTCTGTTATATGGAAAGGAATAGAATATCATTATGAAAATCTCACATTTCAGAGGACAATTGATCTCTCAAGCAACAAATTAACAGGAGAAATTCCAGTCCAAATTTCGAGTCTTTTTGAAATGCATCAATTGAATTTATCAAGAAACCATTTGATTGGAAGAATTCCACCAGATATAGGGCAGATAAGACAGTTGGAATCGCTTGATCTTTCACACAACAGGCTTTCAGGCCGGCTTCCTCTAAGCATGTCCCAATTATATTCTCTCAGTAAGCTGGACTTATCGTATAACAACATTTCTGGGAGAATTCCAACCAGCACTCAAATGGACACCTTTAATGCTTCTGCATTTGCTGGTAATCCTACACTTTGTGGACCGCCTCTAACACCATCATGCCCAGGTGATGAAAAATTGATAGATGATGGTATCAAATACAATCAACAAGACAAAGATGAATTCTGGAAAGCGTTTCAACCTAGTATGAAACTCGGAATGGCTTTTGGCTTTTTGGGAGTTCTGGCTCTCAAGATAGATCATCCCTGGAAACATGTTTGTTTCTTGCTGTCCAACTACATGGAGGTCTACCTCAGCAACTTGAAAGATTGCCTCTGTTTGATTGTGTCAGCACTTTGTTTGGTGATAACAGCGAGTGCTGCTGGACTGCGAAGAAAGTTGAAGTTTTAGGATTGATCCCTTGGAAGGTATGTCTTAGGTTTGTTTACAACTTTATGTTGTCTTGTTCAATTATGAGTATTACTTAACTGGAAAATAACAGAGGAGAGCACCTTTAATTGTTGTTTTTAGGTTCGAGATGCTTCTTCATGG